ATAAAAAATACGTATAGTTTATATTATCTTAAAAAATAAAAATAAAACTACGTAGGTATAAAATTGAGTATTTAAACTACTGAAGCAATTAAATTGTAAAAAAAAAGAGAGTTGAAAATTGGAAATTAGAAGAAGAGAGATGGGAGTAAGAATGGATAGTAAAAAAAATATATGAAAGAAAAATAATAGAACCACCAAAATTAAAAGAAGAAAATAATAGTGGGATCCACACAATTTGAGATGATGCGACCACATTGTGAGTAAAGATAAGAGAAAAGATGTATAATTTAATGTGGGACTCACTAAGAATAGAGATGAAATAAAATAAAGTGAGAAGTTGAATAGTAAATCTGAGGAGTTGAATAATAGATTTACTGTTAAAATCTATAGTTTTTAAATGGGTTTTTGGGCTCGATTATGAAATGTGGCTCCTTTCTTCATTTTATATGTTTTGTAAACATTTGCTGACATCATCCAGTGAACCAAATTACCATTATGCCTCTCCAGAGTTAAATTTTTACTTTCCTTCCCTATTTTTCATTTGACACTGATTTTCTCTCTCCTTCTCTTTCTTCTCGTTCTTCATCTACTTCTCTCTCTCATCTCTTTTCTTGTTCCTTCTCTCTTTTCCCTCCCCCTCAAACTTTTTCTATCTTCAACGAAGAAATGATAGAAACTGCCTCGCTTTTTTCGTCATTCAAAGAACATCGCAAGTGTAGAGTAGATCTTGTTCACAATCCAGGATCGAAAAAGAAGAGGTGGTTTACTAATGTAAGGATAGAAAATTGTTTATGGCCCGGAATGTCTTTGTGGAGAGAAAAACAAAACGAGAAGGGAGAGAACAAGAAAGCGAGAAGAGAGAGAGGGAGAAAAATGAGAAGAGAGAGAGAACGAGAAAGAGAACGAGAGAGGAGAGAGAAAACGAGAAGAGAGAGAAAACAAGAGAGGAGAGAGAGCGAGAAATAGAGAGAAGACCGAGCGAGAAAGAGAGAGGAGAGAGAGAAACAAAGAAAGCGTGAAAGAGTGAGAAAAAAATCCAAATTTGACTGCTTAGAAATGTTTGAAATGAATTTTCAAATCTGAAATGATGAATCTTTTTAGTTTGATAATCAATTACCAATTCAACAATCAAATAAAATCCTCTCATATATAGTTTAATCTTCCAATAACAGAATTCATGCCAATCTTTTCAAAAAAGGAAAAAAAAATTCAATTAAATCAACTTAAATGTTCCAACATAAATGCAGTGATATTAAAAAAAAAACTGAAATTGGGAATTCTCCATGTAAATCAACTTAAATGCTCTGTACATTAAAGATTTTTCGCTCCTTCAATCTCGTTAACTTTAATCATAAATGATATTCAAATTTAAAATTTAATCTAAATGTATTTTTTTAATTGGTTTTCTTATCTCTATTTTATTCTCTCCCGTAATTTTTATTGCGATTGAGGTTCAAATTTAAAGTTTAATTTCTCATCCAAAACATTTTCTTTTATCTCTCATCTATCCTTCACTCTCCAATATATTTCTTCTCTACCTCTCATAGTTTATTTTAATAGTAGATGGCAGGTTCAAGTGGAAATTTTTTCCAATTAATGAGATTTTAAAAACTAAATATCAATGAAGTTTCAAATTTATTAAAAATTAAATTAAAAAATTATACAACGTACTAAAAATTGTGTTTATTTTTTGGAATAGGATTCCTTAATGTCCGCTTCAAAGTAGTAACATAATTCAAATAATCGAGATTTTTTCTCTCTCTCGCTCCCTCTCTCGTTCTCTCTCTCTTTCTCGTTTGCTCTCTCGCTCTCTTTCTCGTTTCATCTCTCTCTTCTTTTTTCTTTCTCGCTTATCTTTTTTTTTTCTCTCTTTTTTTCTCTCTCTGTTATAGTTTTCTTTCTCTTCTCTCTGTTATCGTTTTCTTTCACTTCTTTCTCATTCTCTTTCTTCAATCTCGCTTTGATTTTCTCCATAATCGGGATATTTTCCAGTTAGGAAAAAATGAAGTTCCTTATACCCAAATAGCGTACTTTGTTGGTCAAAGAATACTCAAAAGTTTTTTCGAAAAAAAAAATGAAATAGAGGAGAGAGAGATTTTTTGTTGATTCATGCGAAACCGGAAAAAAAACGAAACACAGGAGAGAGGTAGAAAAATCTAAAAAATTTGTTCATTTTAATTTTGAGAAAATTTGAAGAAAGAGAAAGTTTGAAATCCATAAAATTCTAAAAATTTTGAAGAAAAAAAGGAGAAGCTTGAAATCTATAAAAATCTAAAAAATTTGAAAAGAGAGAAAGAGAGAGAAAAGAGAAGTACCACCGAAGTAAAAATTTTAAGTATGTTAGTGGAGGGGTAGGGCAGTAATTTGAAATGGTTGGTGACGTCAGCGAGCCACATTTCATAATGGGCCTTTGAAAAAGGCTATTCAACCCAAAAAACCTTTTTAAATCCTCACTTGAACAAATAAGGAGGTTTTTTACTCTATTTCACCCCTTGCAACTCTCTCACTTGAACGACCCCTTGATGAAGATTTAACTCCGACGGAGTTTGAGGGGTTTTGAAATATATAGGGAGTAAGTATATTGGATGACTAAATAATCATACCAGGTCTTTTGTCAAAGACTTTTGCTAGTATGTTTAGGACTGCTCACGGATTGGATTTGTTTGGGTTAGGAGATTTTTGTGGACCAACCAAAAAATTCAGGTTGATTGGTTCTTCTACTTAGTGGAACCGAATCAAGTGTGCAACCCAACTCAACCCAACCAATGTATTTTGGGGTTGGGTTGGTCTTCGGATTGTGTAAGATCTAAGAAAGAGACGAGGGAGAGAGTGAAAATCTCATATTTGTGAATGAAAATTGAAAATAACAAAGCTCAAATAGATTTGTGAAGGATGAGTTCCCTTTGAGTTTYTGGATTGGTTATTTGTCTACACATATAGAGACAGGAAAAAGGAAAAAGAGGTACAAAATTCAACAAACAAAGACTGCACTACAACACTTTCAAAACAGAACCCCAAAGAAAGCCCAGTTGTTTATCTTCTTTTCGATGTCTCCGTCTTTCTTCTGATCTCAAAACAAAACCCAAAAAGAAATAACTACTTGTTTCTCTTCCAAGATTTTGGACGATTTTTCCAAACATCATTAATATTTGTTGTTTTCCTAAATCTTCAAATTTTTTATCATTCCTAAATCTTTGTATATTGGGAGACTAAATAATTATACCATGTATTCTGTCGAAGACGTTTGATGGTGCGTCTAGCATGTATATGCTCTCAATTACAAAGTCTAAGTCGAGTTTGCAATCATGCGTCTGCATGTCTTGAATGACAATCACACTTTCGCTTCCTCTGTATATGAAACTATCTATCCACAAATACACAACAATTTTAGGGCTCTAGGGCATATACAACATATGCCATTTGAACTCTATATATGAAACTATCTCCATTTCCCTTTCTCTATATGAATCTTTGATAAGAACCCTTATGATACCAAATGATAAGAAAACAATAGCCAATTGGATCTAAAAACCCTTATGGTTATGCAAACCCCTAGATCACAAATGCTAAAACCCCCGAATCGAGATGATGTCAACCCAAGGAAGAAGTTAGAACGGATTTACCTTGATGATCAATATCAAGAGTAGAGAAAACTTGTTTCTAAACTCAAGATTCGAACCACTCTACAAATAGCTTGATCAAGACTACTTGAATGATTCTAGCATGCAAATCTAACACTCAAGAATTGCAAAGAAAAACAAGCTCTAGGCTTTTTGAAGCAAAATAGCAACTTCATTCAATCATCAAAATCTGTCTTTCAAAGGAAACAAGCTAGGCTATTTATAGCCTCCAAAACAACCCTAAAAGTAACCTAAAGGCATTTGAAAGGTTGTAACTCCCAATTACATGATGGTCATAACATCCACTAGCTAAAATGTAACTTAAAACACATAAATGAAATGTTTAAAACTGAAAATATAATAAAAAGATGTTTAAATCCGAGAATTGAAGTCTTGGTCACCCTTCAAAGTCTTTGTAACCTCCCAATTATAAATGAAGCTTCACTTGAAGTAGTTTGAAGTGTAGTTCCATTAATTGATGGATAACTTGCAATAAATGAAGCTTGAGATGCACTTAAGTTCATTTAATGCAACTTGAGTTCCTTGAATTGAACTTGGCTTTATTGAATGCAACTTGAGTTAAACTCCACTTCAACTTCAGCTCCTTTAAATGAACTTAGAGTTCATTTAATGCAACGCCTCCCTTAAGCTCTACTTGGAAGATATTGACTTGAAAAGTTCCATCTCTCTCTTAATCATCCCTAGCCGAGCTCACCAAGTATTGAACATGAGAAAGTAAAGCTTGTTGTAGCTTCTTGGCTCTTGATCTCGTTATGGGTCCTTGAGGCATGACAATGGTGCTTCCTTGGTTCACATCAATCTTCTTCCATTCCCTGAAGAATGCGTATGCGTTTAGAACGAGTATATTATATTCTACTTCTTTCTCTCAACTCTCAACAATAATATTACCTTGAATATCGATTTCTCCAATTTTTGCTTCTAATTCCTACAAATTAGTGCTCGAATCTGCAAATTAAAATGGAGATCAAATGAGGCAATTCACGTAGCTAGAGAGTCAGGCTAGGGCACAGCTCTACTTCGAATGAACGTGATAACAAATGGTTTGGATGATATATTTTGTGGTAGAAAACCATCAAAGAGAAGAAGAACTAATTATGACTAATTATGACTAGAAATAAGTTTGAAAGAACTGATTATGAACCATAGAATCTATAGCTCTTGAAATGTCAAGGTAGGGTAAAATTGACAAATGATGCAGTCGCGGTCGTGTTAATTAGAACGAATGTGGGTGGGGTAAATTTATCATAATTTATGCAAAAGATTATGTGGGCTATTTCTTAAAATTATAAGACTTTTGTCATTTTTCATTAACTTGCCATGGACTTGAGCATTAGAATTTCTAAAAATCAGCTACTCAGCCCCTGAAATATTTTAGGTTAGAGTGTACTTCCAGTTCCCATATAAAATTTTAGCCATTTTTTTCTCAAGGAGTAGCCGACTTTGAACTGATTCCCAGTTGTTACCGTTAAACGCCATAACCAATGACTTCCAGGTTTCTCTAACCAAGCAACCTTCTAGCTGCCTTCTTGTTATTGAGAGAGCTCATATGTTATGTATGGCTATTTCGAATGCTTGCTTATTCAGTCCCTTTGTTTTGTTTTTGTTCTGTGATTTCGAAATGTCAGGCGATTGAGAGCTTTCAAGCGATGGATGACATCCAACGGCATCCAATACAGCGACGCTCTCCAATTCACTGACAGCCGCGACGAAGGAATCGCCGTCCGAGCCTTGTGCGATCTGCGGGAAGGGGATGTGGTTGCGAACATACCCAAGCTCGCCTGCCTCACCGTCAAGACCAGCGCTGCCTGTTCGATCATTGAAGAAGCCGCTTTAGGCGGTTATCTGGGCCTCTCGGTGGCCGTCATGTATGAGAAAAGTTTGGGGGAGGGCTCCAAATGGGCTGGCTATCTCCAGCTTCTACCCGACAGGGAGTGCCTGCCCTTGCTTTGGTCTCTGGAAGATGTGGACCAGCTTCTTTGCGGAACTGAGCTACACAAGGTATGTCCTCTAGTTTTATGGTACTGTGATCGCCACTTCTGTTCTTTAGTTGAAATGAGTCGACTTTGTTCTGAAACTCTCTAATGTGACTGTGTTCGTCAAAATTAATATGGTATCACAGCCATTGACTTGTGGCCTATTTTCTTTTTCTCGCACCTGCTCTCTCCGTTTTTATGGTAACCTGATTGCTACTGTTTGCAGCTTTCTCCTTCTTTGTGCGAATTCGAGTCAATTCATTAAAGTGAAGCTCAATGATAAAATTTGGTTAAATAAACTTCCAATGTTGTATCTCGGAGGTATCCTTAAATTTTCAATTTTGTGTCTAATAAGTCTCTTAATTATGCGATACATATATTTTTTTAAAGTTTACGGACCTATTAAACACAAAATTAATAGTTATTAGACCGCTTTTTAAAGTTTAAAGATATCAAAATATCGAGTCTCATTTCCTATGTATAGGAGTTAAGTAGAAATAAATATAGGCGCCTTCAAGTGCCCGTGGGTTGATATTACCCTTTCCTGTAAAAAAGCTGATGGGCTTTACATACTGAAGGTGGGAAAGGGGATATAACTCTCTTTTGGAAAGATCCATGGTTGATAAACGAGCCCCTGTTCAGAGCCTATCCAAGACTGTATCGAGTGGTTGCCTCAAAGGAGTTGTCTATAGACCAATGCTGGCCTGAAGAGAGTAACGGATGGGACCTAGCCTTCAGAAGGAACCTTTCAGAGCCGGAAATTGAAGAATGGGCTGATTTATCTAATGCCTCGGCTAGCTTTCATCCCTCTACCGTATGTGATAGGAAGGTACGGTCTCTTGATAATAGTGGAATGTTCTCGGTTAATTCTTTCATGGTTAACCTCTCACAAGAGGCCTCAAGGGCGGATTACTTTAAAGGAAACTTTATATGGAAGCTCGAGGTCCCTAAGAAGGTCAAGATTTGCTTGTGGTTGATGATGCATGAAAGGCTAAAAACTTGCTCTAGAATTCAAAAGGTGATGCCGAGTACGTGCCCTTCTCCCAGCTGGTGCGTGTTGTGCAAGAATAGTGACAAAGATCAATGGCACTTGCTCATCTGCCGATGCAATTCTATAGTTGTTTAAAGGAACGTTCTTTAAAGGAAAAACGAGTCTCCTCTGGTTGTTTGGGATTGCAGGGTTGGTTTGGAAACTATGGTTTGAAAGGAATAGAAGATGCTTTTTGGGGCAAGAGATCGAGAGAAGGTTTTTCTAGGAGAATGTTAGAATTTGGGTCTCTTCCTGGGCTGCTAGTCATAAAGCCTTTTGTAATTATGGTGTCTCTCAMATTTTTGCCAATTGGGAAGGTTTTTTTGTAATTCCTTGGCAAGTGGGGATAGCTCATCTCCCCCCCTTTTTTTTTAAATCTGCTTTGATAATGAACATCTAGTTTCTTATAAAAAAAAAATATAGGCGCCTTCATCCCAAGATTGGTTGACTAGTTATCCTGTCTTGAAGCGGACTCAAAAGATCAACCGTATTGAGTTTTCACTATTATTTGTATGTACTACTATATATCATATATGTATTACCTTAACATGGGCGATTAAGCAAAACTGAGTGGATGGTTAGAAACACCAAGATATACAAATGGACCTATAAGATACTTTTTAAAGTTTAAAAGTTTAGGGACTTATTAGACACAATTTTGAAAGTTCCATTGTGTAATTTAATCTAAAAATTTCCTATTGTGTAAATTTACAAGGTGTCTGTCATAGAAGGTTTTGGTCCAGAAGGTAAAGTGAATGGATCTCTCACCTCCTCAGATTAATTCAAGATTTACACTACTAATCTAAAGTTTCTTGCATGGACATGTCAAGATAAATGTTTGTTTCCTAGCTGTTGGCTTTGATTACTGAAAGTGTGATGTGTTGGATGGTGAGTTAGTCTAGCCCTATTGTTTACTGAGGATCACAATGTAAAAAGCCTTTGCCACATGTTGCAAATCAAAAGTCATACAATATAGGAACCAATTAAGAAGCCAAATGAAAGGATGTGTGAGGCCCCGGTTGTAATTACCTATACTGGGAGGGGTAGAACAGGGATTCCACTGTAAGTCAGTTAGAAGGTGGGGCTTGGTCGTTAGTGGTGACCTGTGTAGGGCTGCGTAGGGGGAATTATAGGGAGAACATTCCCTCAGAAGGTGGGTGGGTTTTATTTTGGCTTGAAGATAGCAGTTTGGCTATTTTAGGAGAGTTGAGCCTTCTCGAATTGGCTGGTCTCTGTAAGTCTTTGTTCTTCGTTTTGAATATCAAGTAGATGAAACATTACGTGAACAAGATTAAAGGTCCGATTGATATTTTGGCAGCTATGCATATATATATACTTTCATAATCAAAAGGGAGAATACATAAAAGGAGTGAGTGAGATATCCCCCAAGCCAAGGGGTTACATAAAAGACTCCCACTTCACAAAGCTATGAGTAAAGTTATAATTACAAAAAGCTTTTGTGAGAGTATACCACATAGAGGCAAACCTTCTAACTAAATCCCAAAACTCAATGCGATTAGTATCCTTCCCTTGGAATGTTATATTGTTCCTTCCAAACCATAATCTCCAACGAGGCTCCATCATTGCATTGGACCAGAGGATTCTCACTTGACCATGGAAGAAGTTACCATCCAATAAATGAAAGAGAGCATTGGAGATATTTTCAGGGAGGCTATTGAACACCCAGTTCCTGAGGATGATCATACCATGGCACCTCTCTTCACTTGACCATGGAAGAAGTTACCATCCAATAAATGAAAGAGAGCATTGGAGATATTTTCAGGGAGGCTATTGAACACCCAGTTCCTGAGGATGATCATACCATGGCACCTCTCTTTGGTCCTGAGACTTGAAATGAAGTATAATCCCTTGCCTCCGTGATCAACTTCAAATTTGGTGCCCAGAGGGCCAGAACTATTGAAGAGGCTTCTATGGCCCTGCTTGCTTGTGATAATTGCCTCAGAAGGCATTAGTCTCTAAGTAGTGATGGAAGGCAACAAAAGGAGTCTGGACAACAAGGCTCCACAAAACCAAAATTCTCAAGGATATTCTTCTCAATAGTTTTATTAAAATGGAGGACATCTTTGGAGTGGCTCTGGTCATATAGTGCAAAAATATTATTGCAGATTTGATCCAATCTTTAGTTGAAACTACTCTAACTTCAATGGCGAGTCTGCAAATCTCAATTTTGGCAATCTTGTAGTCCAGAAATAGATGACGACAATGGTTTCTTCAGCTAATGTAGCCTACTATCACAAACTAGTTCTCATATTCATAATTTTGTTGTTCGGTGATGGAGGGCTGTTTTTCTATCCACTATTTTGAGATAGGGCGAGCCCATTTGGCATCCTTCCTCTTTTTCTTTCTTACAAACATTTGGCTGTGGAGAAATAGATATTTTAGAGGAATTGAGAACCCTTGGGAGAAGTGTAGACTATGGTGAGGTTCAAGTTCAACACCTTTTCGTGTTTGTGACCCAGGAGTTTTGTAATTATCCTTTGTCTCTTAATTTCGATAATTGGAGTCATTTTTATTAACATTTTATTATTTTGTTATTGTGTGACCAAGGAGCTTTTATGTAAGTTTAGCTTTATGTACACAAGTTCTATGGAAAATTTCAATCAGAATTGTCTTTTAATTAGTAAAAGAAACTAGTCAAGGTCATATGGGATTGTTTGCACTTCCTGCCTTTAAGCATCCTTGTTCACTATTTCTTTTATTTTTAGTAATGCAGTTTTCAGAAAGCAATGATGTAGTGACTTTAAATGGGAATCTATGTAGATGATTCTTTTCTTCTTACATTTGTAGGCAGACGGTGAAAGAAGACAAGACTCTTATGTTTGAGGACTGGAAAGAGAATATCGTCCCTCTTATGGTGTCTGCACCTTCGATGTTCAGTCTGGAATTTTTCGGAGTTGAAAAATATTTTTGTGCAAGGAGCCTCATTTCTTCTAGATCTTTTGAGATTGATGACTTTCATGGGTTTGGGATGGTTCCTTTGGCGGATCTGTAAGTTAATCCTTCTTCTAAATTGTTATTTATATATAAGCTTTTTACCATTTTTTTGGTCTTATGTATTATTTGTATAATATCTGAAATTTATATATGTATCTGTGCTTTAATTTATTGAATTGATACCATTCAACAATTGTTTGGACTTTGAAACTTCATTAGAAGTTTCTGAAGCATTCATCTCTCATAACAACTTTCAATTAAATTGGTAAAAGACTCACCATGTGGATTTATGAATGGCTTACTATCTAGTCCAAAGCTGACTTTTTGATCTTCTAAGCTCTATGAGATCATTGGTTGAATTTTCTTTTCTTTGTTGTTTTACAAATAAAAGAGAGATTAGAGATAGTAGAAAAGAAAAAATAGGGTAAAAAGAATGAGAGAGAAAGTAAAAGGTGAAGAGAGTGGGAAAAAAAGAGTAAGGGTGCCGAAGAAAAAATAAAAGGGAAGAGAAAGCAGAAAAAGAGAGATCAAAACAGTAGAGCAGAAAAAAAAAGAAGATGAAAAGACAGGATTTTTTTAAGAGATAAAAGAAAAGAAAAGAATGAGAGTTTAAAGATTCTCATTGGTGTTCCTTGATGATTCTTTTTCTAGCTATTCTCATGACATGATATGTTGTAATTGAGAGGGTTTTATACCTCCTTAGTAGCTTTTATCTTGGTTCTTGGAGCTTTGTGTTTCTTGCTGTTACCAGGGGTGATCATCGGTCGGTCAGAATCGGTTTTTGGCTCAAACCGACGTCAACCACCGACAAGTTCGGTTTCCGTCAGTTTGAGTTCGTCGGTTATAGAAGACTCTACGATTCCGACCGTCTACTACACGGTTGGTCGGTCGGTTTTGATCAGTTTAGTGATGGGGAAGGAGAGAAGAAGAAAAAAGGGAAAAATGAGAACAGAAACCGAAGAAGATAAAGAAAGAAGAGAAAATGGAGAAGAAAAAAAAGGAAGGGGGAGAATAAGATAAAAAAAAGAAAGAAAAAACGAGAGTATAAAAGAAAGAAAGAAAAGAGAAAACGGTGAAGAAAAAAAGATGAACTAAAATAAAAAGAAGAAATAGAAAGAGGAGAAGAGAACAGAGAGGGAGAAGTGGAAGGGATAGAGAGGAAGAGGAGGGAAAGAAAGAAAAGAGGAGATGGAGCTGCTAAGGAACAGGATGTACAAATGAGAGGGTAAAAGAGAAAAAAAAAGAAAGGAAATTATTTTAAAATAAAATCCCATCACATTGGGAAACCAGCAGCCGCTGGTTTTCTTACCAACGTACAACTGTAGTCTGCTTGCAGTAGACTACAATATTTAATGCTCTATATTATTATTATTTTTTTGTATTGAATGCTAATAAAGTCGGTTGGTTTCGGTTGGAAATAAGACTTTCGACCAAACTGACCGACAACATTCGGTTTTTCTTTCCAAAGAATCGATTCTGACTGAATCATTATGTAAACCGACCGACCGACACTGTTTCGGTCGATTTTTGTTGGTCGGTTCGGTTTTTCGGAAGTTTTTGCTCACCCCTAGCTATTACTCATCTCCTTAGGGTTTTTTTTTGTCTCATTCAATTTCTTTCATCTTTTTCCATATCACTCTTTCGGGAGTCTGTATCGTTGAACAATTTTGTTTCCTTTCATCTTTTCAATGAAAAATTTGTATTTTGTTTAAAAACAATTTAATAAAGACGACGTAAGGAAAATTGGGGGTGTCGCCCCCTTCATTCTGTGTATTGTGTTGTGCTGTACTTTGTTGTATTATGCATTCTTCTATTATGTTTGGATCTTGGGTATACATATGAAAGGTTGAACTAAGGTGGCAACCTTAGGCCGCACATTGTGAAAAATTCTATTTGGAATTTAGCTATGTGACATTTATTATCGAAGCGCGGTTATTATCTTTTCTAAGATAATTGCTCGTGATTATCCAGATGACGGAGCCGGTTCGTGATCATGTTAGCCAATTAGAAGACTATGTCGGAGTTTCGGAAGAAGGAATGTCGTCCCTTGTGGAACTAGTCTCTAAACACGATAGTCGGTTCAAAGAAATTTAAGCTTCTTTTACTACTTTCATGTTGGAGATCGAGGAGCAATTGAAATTGTTGGGGGTGAATTCTTTTCTTCTTCGTTTATGTTTTCAACTGACGGCATTGAAAGRGGAACTTAGTGAGACCATCAACTATGTCTCGTTGTCCTCATTGGGACTTAGGGTGGGCATAGCATGCATGTACCCTCTGGGGATGCCAAACTATGGTGGTGTACRTATTTTTAAGATGATGAAAATGCGGGAAGATCGAGAATAAAGACATGGGAAACTAGGAAGAAGAAGTTACAGGATAAGTTTCCTACCTTGTAACACTTTGAGTTGGAAGGGAAGGGAGGCACTCAAGAAGTTGAAGCAAGGTGGAATCGCAAGAGATTATGTTAAGGAGTTTAGCTCATTGATGCTAGGCGTTCATAACATGTTCGAGGAGGACAATTTGTCAAGTTTCTCTCAAGTTTGCAGTCATGGGTGCATATCGAGCTTTTTCTAGGGAACAATACCGATGGAGACACGAGCTTACCCAAAACTAACCCCTTTTTCTTCCCAAGAAACATCCAAGTATTGTTGTTGAATGTTCGTTCCTTTTGTGTAGGAAAATGGAAGGCACTTTGGAGAGCCGAGTTGCATACTTGGAATGAAAGATGGAACTACCAGCGGGTCGGGTGCTTAATGTTATAGAGGAGCATGCAAATGCGATGCTAAACATGGATGTCTCTGCTCGAGTTTCCATTACCATACAACAACACTGAATCCATGCTCAAGAGGAGTCTCTAGACGGATATGCTTGACGTTTGGGAAGTTGCTTCAGTCGTGTTGCAGAAACATTGTTGCAAATGAACGAAGAGGTGGTTAACCTTGCAGACGGTATGTGAGAGGAAATTGCTTTGCTAAGGTAAAGAATGATCTTCTCAGGCAAGCAATAAAGGATTCGAAGAAGGAAGAACKTGTTCGTCGAACTCCAAGCACAAGAGGAACCCGAAGAAACTTTAAGAGGGAAACACCTCAAACAAAGGAAAAGTAAGATGGGACCGAGAAGTCATCGTAGTTAGTGACTCAACGACGAGGAATCCGATCAAAGCAAGGAGGAGTCTGATCCTAGCATGGGAGAGTCAGGAATGGAGGAGTCAAGAGAACTCTTGGATCCAAGGAAGGGGTCTGTACTCTCAATTAATTGTTTCTTTTGTATGTAAGACTTGGTCATTGTTTTTATTTTCAAACGGTTGAAAATAAAAATTAACTTTGTAAGCCCAACGGTGGGTATAGTTTTTCTTCATAATATGGTTTGGTAAACGTGGTGGTTCAAAGCTCGTGCAGAGAAGGATGTAACGTGCTACCCGTGTTTCATTCGGAGGGGAATGAAATTGACCTCGACGAGGACGTCACGAGAGGCTTAAGCGGGGGAGGTTTGTTACAAGGGCGGATTTTGGAATAAAAGTGGCTTGGTGGACCAAACCAAGACCGTGAGCAACAACAGTGGTGATGGATCAACGTGTGACAGAATTGGTGACTGGAGCCAAGGTTGCACGACATTGTAGGAATGCAGGGTACAAGTTGCAAACACTGGGCCTACGTGGGCACACGTTTCGCAAGCGTGACACAGCAGGCACGCGAGAATGAACACGGGTGGCTAGATGCACGCAGGTGACAGGCGGCTAGGAAATCGCTAGCGCGTGCGCATACGCGCAGGTGGGTGCGATGCAATCTAGCGTTTTGTCCGAGGCGTGAAGGACTTCCATGAGGATCGGGCCACATCCTTAAATATGGTGGATGGTAGACTTAGTGGGAGAGTGCTTCCTACATTGGCTAGAACATGCYRGCTAAATTTAGGAATGTGTAAATTTAGTCAACCCTATCTTTGGGAGAGTTAGTGGAGCAGTGGCTCTATGATTCTCTCCAACTTCCAAAGTAGCGGGAGGTTAGTCAAGCCTCGCAGTGGACTCAAAGTAAGGTTAAATTTAGGATGTCTAAATTTAGCACTCCGTTGCATATATAAGGGATAACTTTAAGGAAAGTTCAATTATCCATTCCCATCTACTCCATTCTTGCACATGTTGTAGATTCTTGCCGTGGAAGCAAATAAAAATTGAGATAAGAAAAATTGGGGGCATTGCCCCTCCAGGCCTAAGGTTCCAGGTGCTGTGGCGAGAGCTCTTTGAGATTACAGTGATGTTATGCCTCCAGAGTTGTCGAGAATTCTTCCACCCYGCAGAGCCGTTGACCATAAGATCACTGGGAGTCGAGCCCCCATACAAAGCACCATATAGGATGACGTTAATAGAAATGGTTGAGTTGTGAAAGCAGTTGGATGAACTTCTAGAATCAAGTTTGATCTAGTCATCGAAAGTGCCCTATAGTGCCTTGGTCCTTTTTCATAAGAAGCAGGATGGATCCATGCAGATATGCGTAGATTATCGAGCCTTGAACAGAGTGATTATCAAGAACAAGTACACGATCCTAAATGCCACTGACTTGTACGATAGGTCTTTTCATACTGTGTTTTTCACAAAACTGGATTTGTGCTCCGGTTACTWGCAAGTGAAGATTGCAAAAAGAGACGAGGGCAAGACAACTTGTGTCACTCGATATGGTGCATTTGAATTCCCCTTGTAATGTGGTTCGGACTAAYGAACGCTCCAACGAATTTTTCCAATCTAAAGAACGACGTTCTYTACAAGTATCTGAATGACTCTGTTGTTGTGTATCTCGACGATATTGTTATCTACAGCAAGACGCTCGATGATCTTCTTTGTCCCAACTTGTTTTTCCATTGTTTGAGGTTCTTTCTTCAATAAAGTTCYTTCGGTTATGTGGTTCCTAGTGCTTGACGAACACATTATTCCTTCGATGAATCTTTAATTGCTTGCCTAAGGAAATCGTCTTCTTGCCTTAGCAACACAATTTTCTCTCGCATCCCATTTTCGAGACTAACCACCTTTTCGTCAATTTGCAACAATGTCTCTGCAATCTTAG